CTTGTTTGGACGGGAAGTGAGAGGCCCACTGGACATTCTCCGAGAGAGTTGGGAGGGGGACGCTCCTCATCAGCCAACCAACATTGTGAGACCAGCTGAGTTCCAGGGCTCACCAAAATCTGGCTCAGGCTCAAACAAGGCAGAAAACGTGGTATGATCGGACAGCACGTAGTCGCATCTTTATGTCCGGACAGAAAGTGCTGCTACTGTTGCCTTCATCAGAAAGCAGTTTGCTGGCGAAGTGGCAAGGCCCTTTCAAGGTACTTCACAAGGTTGGTGAGGTTACCTATGAAATCTCAATGCCAGACAGATGTCGCTCTAAACAGATCTTCCACGTGAACCTCTTAAAACAATGGATTTATCGACCATCTTCTGTACAACATCAGCTGTGGGCGCGGACTGTGGAAGAGGAAGAGTGGGCGAGTTTCCTACTGTGGGCGGCGAGTCAACCTACCCCTCCGTTACCCATTTGACAAATGAACAGCAGGAGGACCTAAAGAGAATCATCCCAAGAGGCCTGTTCCGAGACCAGCCAGGGCGAACTGACATCATCACCCATGACATCCGTCTGACTTCTCCAGGTCCTATCAGGCAGACCACCACCAGGGTTCCAGCGTGACTGATCCCCGCGCTGAAGCAGGAGGTGGCGGCGATGCTGGAAATGGGGTTGATTGAGACTTCACACAGTGAGTGGTGCAGTCCTGTGCCGGTCCTGGTGCCGAAAAAGGATGGGGGGCTTCGCTTCTGTGTAGACTTTTCGAAACTGAATAACATATCAGCTTTTGATCCATATCCCATGCCTCGTGTAGACGAGTTGGTGGAGCGCCTGAGAAAGGCTGAGTTCCTCAGCAACTTGGACTTGTGTAAAGGATACTGGCAAGTGCCACTCAACACCCAAGCACGAGAACTGACCGCCTTCAAAGCTCCATCAGGATTGTTCCAGTTTAAGGTCATGCCCTTTGGCCTTCATGGAGCAGCAGCAACATTCCAGCGTCTCATGGATGAGGTGCTGAGGGGCGCTGAGGACATTGCCGCTGCTTACATTGATGATGTCATCATTTACAGTTCGTCGTGGGAAGAACATCTTCAACACCTTAGTGATGTCTTCCGGAGGATTCGGCAGGCCGGGTTGGTAGTAAATGCCAGCAAATGCCAACTTGCCAGGTCTGAAGTATGCTACTTGGGATATGTCCTGGGTTGCGGTACTATACGTCCTCAGGTCAGAAGTGGAAGGCAAACGCAACTCCCAGCCGCCTACAACCAAGAAGGGGGTTAGATCTTTTCTGGGGTTGGTCGGATGGTACCGGAGCTTTATTTCCAACTTTTCAAGCCGAGCAGCTCCCTTGTCAGATCTCACTCCTAAGACCAGTCCCAATAAAGTTACCCTTCACGGTGCAAACGGACGCTTCTGGCATTGGATTGGGAGCAGTGTTGCTGCAGGGTGAGGGGGAGGACAAAGACCTATACAGTTTGTGAGCCGCAAACTTTTCCCTCGCAAGACTCGGTACTCCACCATAGAAAAGGAGTGTCTGGCCATCAAGTAGGCGCTGGACACTAGTGTTGCTTTCGTCAACGAAAATTATGACTAAATATAGTCGTCAACGAACCTTTATCACGTGACGAAAACGAGACGAGACGCAACGTAAATGCTGGTCATGTGACGATGACTAGGCTATAACTAAATGTATAATGCAATATCGTTGACGAATAAAAACGAGACTAAATGTGGTTTACAAAAATAAAAACTATGCTAAAATATCTCTTCATTTTCGTTGACCAAAACGAGACGAGACGAAATGTTATTTAACGTTATTTCGTCTCTTACTTGCATTATTATGCAGCATTTCTGTTTCCTGTGTCACTTCAGGGGATGCATCAGATCGCACTGTGCAAACCTTTGCGACTTCAGATCCTCAAGCCCCACTCGCGGCATTATTTAGAAGAAGCAGCTGCGTGACTTACAGCTGTTTCACACACACTCCGCGTGTAGAGTGTATGCGGTGCGTGTAGCAGTGTGTATGCAGGAGCAGCGCGCGTTATTGCTTTCACATGTGCTGCGTTTGCAGTGCGCAACTGATCTACGGCTGTACCACAATCACAACATTTATCCTCTATTTTTTATTTCAAATCAGTATTTTAGCCTACATACATTGTGTCGCGTTATTGAGTTTGTCTACTGTGTCCTCTGCTCTGCTGTTATGCACGCACCGCTCCTACAGCGCGGCATGAGCACTAATCTATAAAACTGTATGGGTGCGGGAAAAATACGCACTGCACACGGAGTATGTGTGAAACAGGCGTTAGCATAAACGACAACAAACAAAGTTAAGTCTGACACAGAGAAAGGGATTCGTCTTTGGGAGAAAAAGAAGAAAACTTTCATTTCATCTTGTGTGTAGGCTTCTAACATGTTTGGTTGGTAAATAGCCTATGTTGTAAATTCAATTCAGAGCGTCTTCTGTGTCTGGAATGGATGTATTCTTGAGTCTATAAGGTAACAATAATATAAGAAGATAATAAGAAGATAAGATTGTTTGAAATGGGTTTGGCTAAAAGAAAAATTTGGTTTCGTCTATAGGCTAGCCTACTACTAGGTAGGCTACTTATTGACTGGGTTAAATAGACTTGCCTACTAAAAATAGACTAAAATACAATTTTCATTGACTAAAACTAGACTATGTCTTTCGTCGACTAAAACTAGACTAAAATGTCATCGGTTTTCGTCAACTAAAACTAGACTAAAATGTCATCGGTTTTCGTCGACTAAAACTAGACTAAAATGTCATCAGTTTTTGTCGACTAAAACTAGACTAGACTAGACTAAAAAGAGCATGAACGTGACTAAAACTAATAAAAACTAAAATGTCAGCTTGACACAAAGACTAGACTAAAACTAAAATTAAAACAGGCCGCCAAAAACAACACTACGACATTTTAAAATATTACCTTGTTGGCAAAGAGTTTGTCTTGGAGACAGACCACAGGCCCTTGCAATGGCTACATCGTATGCGTGACTTTAATTCCAGAATCACCCGATGGCACCTGTCCTTGCAGCCATACAGGTTTACGGTGAGGTATAGAACAGGAAAGGATAACGTTATTGCTGACTTTCTTTTAAATGACGGGGGGGTTAAATGACGCTATGACTTCCGGGTCAATAGAAAAATGACCCGGAGTTTGAGTAATTAATTCGTAGCTGTTAATGTGACTTTTTGCTTGCCAATTGTCAGCTGAAACTGTAGAAATAATATTCTGTAATTTTCTAGTTTTATAGAGGTTGTATTTCATGCTGTTTTTAAGCATTTATGTCGTTGTCATCTGAGTTACCCCTGTATCATAATCATGTGTTGGTATGTTCCAATTCCATGGGTGAACTCAGGTCTATAAAGGCTAGTATTTTCATTCAGTCAAGGGGGCTTGGAGTGAAAGGACATAAGTCTGTCCTTGCTCTAATATACTTGTGTTATAGACTTGTGTTAAGGTCAATGTTTGAACTATTGTAAAAGTTTGTTAAATTTGTTTTTTTGTTGGGTTTTTTTTTTACTCTCATGTCAATTTACTTTGTTTATTCAAAAGTATTTTTTTTTGTTACATTTGTTTTGTTTTTTGCTTTTCATTGGCCTTAATTGTGGATAAATAAAAACCCCATCCATGCAAACTCATCTAACTTCTCCTGAGTGCTACATCTGCTCATGACCATTCAGTCACGTCTACCCATAACAGTCTAAAGAGGACTATCAAAATAAAGTGTAACCAAACACTCAAATCAGAGTTATATTGTGCAGATGTAAATGAAAAAAGCAACATAGTGAACAGCAAAAAGAAACAAAGAGGGAGAGAGATCAAGAGAGACGGACATTAATATGCTAATGGACTGAGTGAATGCACAGCTTTATTGACCAGACTAATCACTGCAGGACACACACTGAGGTTAATCCCACCCACACACACACACACACACACACACACACACACACACACACACACACACACACACACACACACACACACACACTAATCCTCACTCACACAGCGAGCCATGCAAGTCAGCACACATCATGCACACTCGCACATTTGCATGGACACAGGACACATCAAGCTTGGTCACACACACTCCTCACCTTAATCTGCTTTTCTCGTTTGTCACACTCATGGTGGACTTAAAATATCTCTATGAAGTATATTTTATACATAATTATAATATATCATGTTACTTTATTTTTATTTTATAAAAGCTGAGAGTTTCTAATTCCATTGTCATGCACATGATGTATATTTTACAGAGTGTATTTTTACATCAATAAACTGTTGTTCTTGAATCTTGTCTGTCCCCACTCTATTTTCATACAGATTACATAAAATGAAAATATTTATTTTTTATATAAATTACTTCATTCCATATAAAATAGCTATGCAATGCAATAGCCTACTCATTCCCTACTCTCAGGGAGCTGGGTACGTTCTTTCTGTTTAGAGAAACCTGAAACGCTATATTCATATTGGAATTGTTCTCACACAATGACATTTTGGTGTGACATTTGTGATTTTATCAAATGTTATGTGAATCCTACTTTTTAATTTACAGAAAATTGTTCTTTATGAATGTGAAAAGAATAAATATATAGGCCAATATATATAATAAACCTGATTTTTCTATTATCCATATATCACATTCACAAATGTAAATGTTCTAATACGATTTAAACTAGAGATGAAAATGTATTTTGAATCTATAAGTTCTCTAAACAACTTGCTATGAGAACAGTCACGTGTTTAAGGACTTGGCTCTGGACTGAAAGACTGAAGGACCCTGGAGTTGTTGTGTTAGTATGACATTGATGATGACAATTGTTGTTACTTATCCATTTAATAATTTAAATAAAAAGTAAGAGGTAAAGTAAAAGTAAAAAAAGAAGAAGAAAAGAACAAACGAAGAAAGAAAGAAACACGCGCGTGCAGTACTATACTTCACCGCTAGAGGGAATCTGGCAGGAAGTGATAGGTGACTCCGAAGATAAAAACATCCGGTATTAGGATGTTATAATTTTAGGAGGTTTTATCGCGTGTGCTGATTCTGCTGAAAAAGTTCAGTAGCAGATGACACACTGACTACACACAGACACTTGAGGGTTAGTGCCAATTTTCGTTAGATCTTCATCATCTCTTACTGTAGACTAAACTAACGTAAAAGTACCGAAAAGTAATATAGTATTACCATGTTTCTAAGACATGGTACCATAGTTTTTGTACATTGGGTTATCGTGTAAATATCAATATTGGTATCATTCAGAAACGTGGTATTATCATTTATCGTTCAAACTGTAAATCTACATAATCGTAGTCCTTTTGTTTTTGTTATACATTTTAAAATAAATCAGAAAATAACACAATATCTTTTGTCGGAGAAAATTATTAATTTTTTTATTAAAGATTGTTTCATCGAATCAGTCCAGGAAGTTTGTCGTGTTCATGCTTTGTTTCAAACGGGTTACATTTCATTTAGTTTCATATTGAATGTTCTAAATTTAAATAATCATTTGAATGACGATTCAATGTTCTTTAACTGGCAGTAAAAGCCTATGCAGTTTGTATGGGTTGTGCGTGTAAAGTGTGTTCTTTTTCAGTTGTCAGTGAAGTCATGATGGCGAATCCAGTGAGTGTTCAGACTCTGAGTAAGACATGGGAACTGAGTCTATATGAACTACACCGAACGCCGCAGGTACTCACATATAATTACTTTATTATACAATTATAATTTTATTATAGGAAAGATCCACCCAACATTTTTTGGAGCTACATAGGCTCCAAAAGAACGTTATGCATGCAATGCTAATCAAAGAAAAAAAGGGAAATTAAAAATGGTCAGACAACCTTAATTGGACCATTTGAGATTAACCCTTATGAATGTTGTTCGAAGCCTTATTCACAGTCGTTGCATGTCGCTAGTTGTGCTGTCACTAGACATTCCTAGTTCTACCTGCAATTTGCAATCTTAGCCATATTATTCGATGCATCATTTGTCAAGGGATGCTTCAAATGTGTTTAGAGATGTGAAATTTACTTTTACATTTTTCTGACTCTTGACTACTGTCTCCATTTCCATAAAGTTAAAAGTGCTGTCAGTTTCTGTGTAAATAATAGCAGTAGCAAACGAAACAATGGTGATAAATAAATCAATTTCCCTATCATTCACACGCTGCCTCTGTCTATTTCTGAAACAAAGGTATGAATCAGAATTTGATGCATTGCACACTTTTTATTTTCAGTTTTTATTGTTTATAGATGTAGTATTTGAATATATTTATGTAGTAAGTTCCACCCATGTATGGATTGTTTCAGGAGGCTATCATGGACAGCACAGAGATTGCTGTGTCGCCCAGAAGCCTCCACAGTGAGCTTATGTGTCCCATCTGTCTGGACATGCTGAAAAACACCATGACGACCAAAGAGTGTCTGCATCGTTTCTGCTCCGAGTGCATCGTCACCGCACTCCGATCAGGGTAAGACCACATTTTCTGATCGAACGCTTTTTCTTTTACATTTAAGAATGATCCGATCATCTGCCATTTTTTGGTGCTTTCAATTAATCAGATATTTCTTGCTCAGTTCTGCTCTTTAATTACTTTCCGCTGCAGAAATAAAGAATGCCCGACCTGCAGGAAGAAGCTTGTGTCCAAGCGTTCTCTACGTGCTGACCCAAATTTTGATGCCCTGATCTCTAAGATGTACCCTAGCCGTGATGAGTATGAGGCCCATCAGGACAAAGTTCTGGAGCAGCTCAGTCGACTGCACAACAATGATGCACTCAACAGCAGCATCGAGCAGGGACTGCGCATGCAGGCCAGACACAGGTCACAGCACAGCTAGGAGTGCATATGCATGTCAACAAAGAAACAGTGCCTCAAAAATGACAATTCTCTCATTATTTATTTACCTTCATGTTGAACACTGAATAAAAATTTTGAGCAATTTTAATGCAGAACTTTCTATATAGTGAAAGAAAAATGTGCACTGCTGCAATAGGTTTAATGTTAATGGTAAAATCAAACTTAATTGCTTCTGGCATCTAAAAAGACTTGGTATATAGTGCACAAGTTTTGTATACTACTAATGGTACTTTTGGTTGGTATCTCCCCATCTATAGTATATAAGATAATAAGATAACATATACTTTATTGTCCCTGAAGGGAAATTTGTTTTGGACTCTGTCCCTTCTGCAGTTTTTACAAAGACAACACAATTACAAAATACAAAGAACAGACGTCTCTCAACAAATCTTCTCACAAACATGTTCTCATATACATTAGATGGGTACATATATAGTAGGCACATTAACACTATATACGAAGAGTTCAGATGCAAAAGCCTCTAAATGCCATTTGAAATTTTCTTCTTTAATGATGATTTTTGTCAAACTTGTATATTTAAGTTCAGTAATTTCACTTAAATAACAATTAATAGGTAATTACCATTGCCATTTAAGTGAAATCACTGAACTTAAATATAGAAGCTTGATAAAAATGATCATTCTAGAAGAAAATTTCAAATGGCACTTAGAGGCTTTTGCATCTGAACTCTTCATACATACCATATATAGTATGTATATAGACTGTTTATCCTTAAGTATTCTTATCATTTTATTTAACTTGACCTTAGATGCATTTATGTTTGCTGAGGTTTTTCATGACTATTTTCCACCTTCTCGCTGAGACTTAGTTAAATAGGAGGACTGTACTTTTAAGATATTTTATTTTTATACCTGAAATGAGTAACAAAGTTTGGATGTTGGTTAAACAGTGCATTTCCTCCCTTTTTTTTTTAGAGCTCAGCGTGTCCGTAAGCTGCATCCAGAGAGTGAAAACACTACCTTTAGCGGTGGTGAAGACAACGGTGACACTCGTTCACATGTCTCGCATGACTCCGTGCCTTCACACCATACCTCTGCCCCTGTAAGCTACGCTCCTGAGGCTGGACCGAGTTGCAGTAAAAAGCAGCAAATGTCTGATGATTCTGGACCTGAGGCTTTTGGAGGGAGTCGTACACCTCCTGGACAACTGCCAGGCCATGGGCTGAGCTCAGAAATTGAACTTATATTTTGCCCACATCCCCTGCTGGTCAACAACCAACAGTACAGCCAGACAAGGTATAAGGAAAATAAGTGACTGGGGGTATATGGGCAATTTTTTAGTGAGAGGACTATTTTACATAAGTTGTAACAGCATAGTAATGTAGAAATATTACATTTGCCATAATTTATATATTTAACCTACGTCACCTACTTAGACTTCCACTTTAAGGCCAGGAAGAGATCTTTCTCCCGGGACATGTTAGTAAATGTTTTAAGCTTTGCGTCGGGGTACTAATCACCCTGTCTGGATTTATTTAGATAAATTTATTTATTTATTTATTCAACTGGCTGTTAATTAGTACAGTTATTACACGGCTACTTGCCATACAAGTTAGTAAAATATTTATTTGAGTTAAAATATTTGATTTTATATTTTATTTGCACATTAAGCTCAAAGTTTCTGCAAAGGAAAACTTTTCATAGTCAAATCACCTTCATTTATATAATGATTTATACAATACAGATTGTTTCAAAGCAACTTTACAGTGATAATAGGAATAATTTTAGCTGTACAGCAGCTCTAGAAGAAAGTCATTGTCTAGCTTAAAGGGATACTTTACCGATTAGCATTAAAGGGTTAGTTCACCCAAAAATGAAAATTCTGTCAGTATTAGCTCACCCTCATGTTGTTCCAACCCCGTAAGACCTTCTTTCATCTTCGGCACACAAATTAAGATATTTTTGATTAAATCTGAGAGCTGGATCACTCCTGCATACTAGTCCATAGGCTTCTTGAGGAATTGAAGCTTGCTGGCCTCGAAACATTATTAAAGGCATCGTTAAAATAGTCCAAGTGACTACAGTGGCTCAATCTTAAGTTTATCAAACGACGAGAACACTTTTTGTGCACAAAAAACAACAATAAGGACTTTATTTCAACTATTCATATACTTCTCTCTCTGCCTCGTCTCAGGTTACTAGTTTAACAGAGTATGATCTGTTGTTGTACGTCACAAGCATCACACACATGAACAGTGTCGGCCAATAGTGAGCCTACGTGTGAGGTAGCTCTACGCTATCACACTACATTATCTTACTAGAGGTCCATAGAGAAGTGTTCTCGTCGCTTGATAAAGTTAAGATTGAGCCACTGAAGTCACTTGGAGTATTTTAACGATGTTTTTAAAACTTTTCGAGGCTGGCAAGTTTCAATTCCTCAAGAAGCCTATGGAGTAGTATGGAGGAGTGAGACAGCTCTCAGATTTCATCAAAAATATCTTAATTTGTGTTCTGAATATGAACGGTCTTACGGGGTTGGAACAACATGAGGGTGAGTAAATAATACTGACAGAATTTTCATTTTTGGGTGAACTAACCCTTTAAGCTTTGTATCAGTAGAAACCCGGTAGTATTTTTGAATGACCATGATTCCCTCCCTCATGTCCTCCTGAGACTAAAGATTTCTGTATTTTTTGTATGGAAATGCACACGCATGTTTTCAAACCGCCCATAAGGGGTGGGGTCTCACTCACAGAATGTACAAATTGTTTAGTACCAGATGGCCCAGACTGTTTGTCATCTGGGAAGGTGAATATTGATGGAAAAACAGCGTCTTATCAGTTTCGAGCCTAGTCAGTTACGATCAGTTACTTAGCCTAGTTGTATAATTTCTTCCGATACTGCCCTCTGTAACCGGTAGGCGAGGCTTGGGCTTTCATCCATCATCCAACAATTTTTGAAAACAATTTTGAAAGCTTTCAATTTTTAAAGCAATACCTTTATCATCTCCGTGCAAACTTCAAAAACGTGTATCTGTGAAAACGGTGATGGCATGCACATGCTTATTACATGTTTAGTCTATAGGCATGCAAGTTTGAATGCGTATGTGCGTGGGAACGTAGTCTTTTTTTTACATTAGGTTAGGCTTTTTTTACATTGCCAATTACTTGTCTGGCACGCATAATACAGTGTTATTAGTCGTTACCGCGGATGCGTGTGAACAGGAATCATTTTCATAATAGACTAGACGGATTTCAGAAAAATGGCCTTCTATAAGAAGTGAGGAGCATTTATGGGTACAAGTTGGGAACCGGCTTACCTTCAAGGGTGCTGAGTCCAAAAAAAGTGGTACTCAAGCGAAATTTTGAGTTTTTTTTAAAGCCATCAAAATGGCTGCCAAATTGCCTATCTTGCTCAGTCATTGGAACATTTTCCCCTAGTTTTTTGTAAGTAGGCAATCAAGATGAGGAAATTAAGTTTCTAGATTGATGGTCAAGGGTCAGAGCAAAGATATATTGGAGGCTCACTGCCTTTTTTATGTATTTGCAAACTACTAACTTTTAAGGCGAGACACTAGGTGAATAGGGTACATTTTTAAAATAATAGATATCACCATGAAACTTCCTCAGTTGGTTACTTACACAAGTATATTAAAAAAATGTATTATAAGTTTTTGAAATTTGTATGTTTAATTATGCAAATTAGGCATTATCTCATTAAATATGCAGAATTTGCATATATTTTCGGTGGATCGATCTAACATATGATAAAGCCAGGTGCAAAATTTTTTTTTTTTTCATTTTGTTTACAAGGTTTGGTGCTGAATCATTTGGCAGTTTGTTAAAAACAGCATCAATGGGTATATATTGTGGCAGACAACAGCCAGAGTTTATTACATGCTACGTGCGGGAAATGGAAACCAGAATCAGAAGCACATCAGTTTTCCTATGACGGCCTTAAAAAATGACACAAATAATGCTTAATTTCACCTTAAGGTGAGACACGGGCAGGCAGAAACATCGGTTTTTTGAGATTTTGGGCTAGTTTACTCAATATGTGTTCAAGCTGCTATAAAGAAAATGTTGAACCCAACATTGAAAATGTTAGACCCCATACTCCCGGAGCACCCTCCACAGACTGCCGGGAGGGACACCAAATCCACAAAGCACATGTGGATTGGTTGGGCAAACTTCCATGAACCCGCCAGCACCCTGTAGAGGGTGTAGAGCTGGTCCAGTGTTCCACGGCCCGGACGAAAACCACACTATTCCTCCTGAATCTAAAGTTCCATTATTGGCCGTATTCTCCTCTTCAGTACCCTGGTATAGATTTTCCCAGGGAGGCTGAGAAGTGTGATCCCCCTGTAGTTAGAACACACCCTCCGGTCCCCCTTCTTAAAAAGAGGGACCACCGTGGTGGTCGCGGACAGTGCCTCTGGGATGGCAGACCGGGATGGTCTGCCATCCCAGAGGCACTGTCCCCGACCACCACGGGATGCTGCAGAGGCGTGTCGGTCAAGACAGCCACACAACCTCTAGAGACTTGTGGTACTCAGGGCGGATCTCATCCAGAGTTTCTTGACTAGGGTGATGGGTGAGCCCTCAGCCTCTGCTTCCTTGATGGAAGACGTGATGGCGGGATTGAGGAGATCCTCAAAATATTTCTTCCACCATCCGACGACATTCCCAGTTGAGGTCAACAGCCGCCCACCTCCACTGTAAACAGCATTGGTAGGGTACTGCTTTCCTCTTTGAGGCGCCGGACTGTTTGCTAGAATCTCTTACCGTACGTTCACACCGCCGCCGGCGAGAGCGGCAAAATTCGCTCTTGCCGCTCTGTTAACGACGCCGTGGAAAGATTCGTGGATGCTCTGATTCTCTGACGTAGATCGAATGCGTGGGGGGGAAAAACGGTATTTAAAGGGGCCACAAAGCAAACAAGCATGTCAATCGTTATTTTTGCAGAAAATTGATCGATGGAAATAACTTTAAAATTATAGTGACATGTTTGCTAACGAAATAAACAAATTAAAAGCCATACGTGTGTGGTGTGGCTTGTGTGTTCATGGTTAAATGCTATTATAATTTGCATTCTCGCTAAAAAAGCACGAAAATCTTGCCTATAAATAGTGTTGCGCGCCCTCTTATCAAATTCAAATTATCAACCTCCTCTATTTTGCTTGGGAACTAATGTGGCCGGAACCAAAGTTTACAGGACTGCGTTCTCTGGGATTCTCTCAAACGGAGCACTTCTACATTCCGATTGGTTGCCGCCGGTTGCCGCCGAACCGCGTCATTGCTTATTACCATAAAGTTGAACTGATTTCAACTCTGCTCGCCGCTCTCGCTGTCCGAAACGCGCCGCTCTCGCCGGAGCTCGCCGCCGGCTCTCAATGAAAATGAATGACTTCCGGCCACTTTGACGCTCTCGCCGGTGGCGGTGTGAACGTACAGTTAGAGGCCAGCCGATAGTCCTTGTCCATGGCCTCACCAACCACTTCCCAGGCCCGACTTTTTGCCTCCACAACCACCCAGGCTGCAGTCCGCTTGACCTGCCGGTACCTTTCAGCTGCCTCAGGAGTCCCACAAGCCAACCAGGCCCAATAGGGCTCCTTCTTCAGCTTGACAGCATCCTTTACTTCCGGTGTCCACCACCGGGTTCGGGGATTGCTGCCTCAACAGGCACCGGAGACCTGCCGGCCACAGCTCCGAGCAGCTCCATACCTGGCGACGTCACGGTCCTTGTTTCTTCTTCACTCGTATGGTTTTTTGAACCGCTCTAAGTCTGACCTATCGCATAGGACCTGTTTGCCTTGGGAGACCCTACCAGGGGCATATAGCCCCGGACAACATAGCTCCTAGGGTCGTTCGGGTACTCAAACACTTCCACCAAGTTTTTTTTTCAATAGAAAAGCAATACATTCCCAGAAAAAGGCATTTAAAGACTTAAATCTTTAAAGGGGGTGTTGACTGATTTTTTTTCTTTGCATGATTGTGTTTATGGGGTGCAATATACCATGTATTCGTGGTTTTTCTTTTTTTAAAAGTCTTATTTTTCATAAATTTCACCTTTATTGTAAGCCGTGCTCTCCTCTGTCCCATGAACGAGCAGTTGACTTCCTGATTCTATGAAAACACTTCCTCAGAAACACGCAGTGGGCTCAGATTGGTTAGTTTGGTGTGTTGTGATTGGCTAAACTGTCGCTCACATTGTCCGGAAGGTTAACGCCCATTACCTTTACGGGCGATGCCAAAGATCCAACCATGTAAATAAAGGTGACGATACTATGGTCGATA